GGGGGGGGGGGGGGAACGGATATCCAAGATGCCCTGCAATCACACATCACTTGCCCTGCCTAGCATGCCACCTGCTACCACACCACTCCTGCTAAGCCTCTGTCACCTTCTCAGAACCTGTTCTGCCTCCTGCGGCCTAAGCCCCACAATTTCACTTCTGATTACCTGCTCAATCCCACATCTACTTCTGTGAGCCCCAGCACCACCTGACCACCTGCCACTTCACCATGGTCCCACCAAGCCAGGCAGGCTGCCAATCCTAACTTCTAACTAGTAGGCCAGACCAGATCACTTTATGGGTCAGATTTGACCAATGGGCTGCATATGTTGCCAACTCCTAATTTAGAAAGATCAAGAAACTGACGTGAGGTATATCACTCAACCATACTGCAAGTACTTCAAATGTTGCTCATATTTCTCTGAGCCAATCACTTTCTGCTTCATCTTAGGAGCTCCTACATATCAGCACCAGGATTCCAGAACTCAAGGATGATGATTCAACACTCCAAGAGGAGGTAAGGGAAAGACCAGGGCAGAACAAAGCAGAACAACATGACACCTGCAAGTAAGCTTCCTCTGCTGGACAGAGGTTTAGAAAGAGTCAGTTGTAAGCCCACGTGAGCTTTCATACTGTTTGGTTTTTTGAAAGGTCTTCTATTTCCCCAAGGAAATCATATGTGGAGAACTCTCTGGTTATAAAAAATGTTCATAGGAAATGTGTGTACATGTGTGCATGCTTACTGCACAGTTAAAATGGCTAATCGTAAGTAAATTTGCCCTGGGATAGGTGCACTGTGGCTGGGCAGGCAGTCACTGCACATGGGGGAACTGGGAGGGGTCAGGCAGCAGCCAGCACAGTGGGACAGTGTGTTGGCCAGCAGGAGCTCAGGATAATGGTCTTCACTGCCTGAAGCAGGGACTAAAGCAGCCATGGCACACAGAGGCACAGTTGGCAAGACAGGCGCTGCTGCACACTGCCCCTGTGCTGTGCATGCTGCTCCTGGCCAGGGAAGTGGCTGGCCAGAGAGCAGGGCTGCCTTTTCAAGAGGGATGCCAGTTGCCAGCTGTGGCAGCCAAAGCCTGGAGCTTCCCCTGTGGCAGCTGCAGCAGCCTACTGCAGGGCTTCAGGAAGTCTGGTGCTAAGAGAAGCAAATCTGCTGCCTAGTTGTTGCACATGTAGATGCCTACCCTGGAGTGTTTACTTGCAAGGAAACTGATCTTGGATCAAATGCATGTGTAGATGCGCCCTGTTTGTACAGTGGCCATCACAATGAACACCTATTCTTAGTCGATTTTTAAAGCCCTACCAAAATAAACCTGGATTATTAATAGTAAACACCACCACTCACCCCCAGAATTAATTGCTAAATCACAAGCATACCTCTGACAGCATTTCATATTGACCTCTTCTTCCCAAGGCAATAGTAAGTAAATCGTAGACCACAGATGCACTTTGCAAACTGATTACGCGATCATTTTTGTGCTCAGGTATTCTACTCAGTACTGCATCACGGTTAGCCTGAAAGACGAAACCAAAAGGAAATCCAAGGCCATTGTAATGCTATCAACATCTTTTTTTTAAGGTAGTTATGAATATTTATAGATCTAGTAATCATCCTTGGAAGTCTGTGACCATGACAAATAGCAATCACTGCTCATTTCACATTTGATCATTTTTAGGTAGGATCAGCCTATTTCTGATCCTCATTTAATACATAAACTGAGTCTGAAGCTCATGCCCTGTTAATTAATATTTTTGTTATTAGGTTTTAATTGTGCAAAATGGAGGCAATTAATTTAGTTAAGTTACCTCAGCAACTGGACTGATATTGTATGGCTTTCATTTCACAGTCTTGCATCAGCATATGGCACAACTTCAGAGCTCCTGGGATCTTCCTTATACCCTTCCTTTTAGAGGCAGGACTTTTTTCTCGTATTAATTTCCTCTTCTGAAAAATCACAACAGCTCTCTCTCTCTGAGAAAGGGGTTTCCTCCAAGGATAACCCTCTCTAATTCAGTACAAGGAATTATCAATAGGGAGATTGATAATTCTCTCCACCAGCATAAGGGTGGCAAAGGATTCTTTGCACAATGTTTTGCATTCTAAAGGATTTCAAAGTGCAATTCATTCATTGTCATAAAAAGACACCTCTTTTTACAAACAGAGGGTGAGGTACAGGCAGATTAAATAAATAAGCTACCCAGGTTCCTATATAGAAATGCTGTTTAGAGCCAAGTATAAAATGTAAGTCTCCAGATGCTCAAGACCACTTATGCTCTACTGTCTAGATAAAGATGACCTCAAACCACCTTCTCCAAATCTACCTCATATATAATTATCAACCCACTGTTGTGTGGTGTCTTTATCTCTTCTTTCTACAAGTTTCCCCAAGTTAAAATTCCCATTGTTTTAGACTAAAGACCCACATTTTTAATGCGCTGTGATAATGTGAAACAAATGAAAGATCTGAAGTGAGATGCTATAAGATTATTAAGTTAGAGAGGCAGAGAAATCTTTAGGGTAGGGGTGCTTGACCTCCAGCCTGTGGACCAAATGTGGTTGCAGAGCCATGGTATCCAGCTCGTGGGGTTCCTCACAGGTTGAGAAATTTGGTGGCAGAGGAGCAGTAGCAATTAATAAAGGCCAGCCTCCCCTGCTTCCAAATTCCCAAACTCCAAGCCCGTGTGGCAGGCTAGAGCTGCGCTATACCCCCTTCCTTCCCATACAGTCAGATTGGGCCCAGGCCATGCCCCCTCTCCACTACAGCTGGATCAGAACCAATCCACACCTCTCCCCACCCCAACCCCTGCAGCTGGATCAGGTCCAGCCATACCCCTCCCCACCCCCCCACAGGGCCAGATCAAGCCCCCTTTGTCCTGATGAGGCTAGGTGGGGGCTGCACAGCAGGATGGGGTCCTGTGACAACTGCCATAGGCACAAAATCCAGCACATGAAGGAACTGCTTGCCTGCTTTCCTAATAGGAGATAAGGCACAGCCATGATTTGACAAGTTCAAGTGACATGATATCCATTAAAAGCTTTTAAAAAACTAGCTGTTTAACTTACCATAGATTCACTAATCAGCAGCAACAACAGGGCTTCTTCTGTATTTTCTTGTGGACAAAAAATACTGTTCAAAAACAAACATAACAGCATTGAAGTAGAACATATAAAACTCTTCAAAAGGGTTCTCAAAACAACAAGTATAAAAATGCTGAATATTGGTAGACAAGGAGGCTGCTTACAGATGTGAGCAAAAAAAAAAAAAAAATTGGCACTTAAAGCTCACATCTCATAGCTGATTGAATAAAAGCACCAAAGAGTCTTGCTGAAGTACCCGAGCTATACAGCACTGCAGAATTGAGTGAAACTAGTGAGCTGCTGCTTCTGATAAAGTGAATTTTCTTGAGGTGGGGGGGCATGTCTGTCAGCAGCTGGACTGAATTTACCTGCAGCCATTCTATTGTGGCTGCTGAAATGAAGGAGAGCAAACTGATTAGTGGACTGGGTATAAATGTTGGGAAAAGATAAATAGCAAAGTTTGTTTTGGAGCACATGCATCCAAAATTAAAAGGATGAATTCAAGTATTTTGCAATTGCATAGAATTGATCATCTAAAGAACATTTCAATAGTTTATATAATTAAAATCAATCTTGGAAGTTAGCCACAAGGTGCATTTTATTTCCATCTTTACTAACATTAAGACATTAAGACCTAATTTCAATATGTTACATGTATAACTGACCATGCAAAATGTAAGCAATTAATATCCAAGTTGCAGGTACAGTTACCATGGTGAATTCATAAACTGGATATGTGTGCTTAATAAACCAGGTGGACACAGTTGTTTAATTATGCCTGAAATGAAACCAATTGTCCAATTTGCATGGGGAACTTAATTAAAATGTATTCACAAATTAAGCATTCAAGTTTTCCAAAAAAGTCATCTGACCAGACCTTTCGTCAATTGTGCAAGACTATGGAGGTGATCAGTTGCACTTGAATTCCAGGCTTCTACACTTACACTCAAGATCATCTGAGTGAGTGTCCCAAAACAATGTCTTTTAGACCAACTTTACCATGTAATTTTGTAATACAGAAGGGAGTGTCTCCAAAGATAGAAGAGGTAAGCATAGATTTACTTTTGCATAGGGACAAGACCAAGAACACAAACATTTTACAGAAGTTTCCTCCCTCAGTATTAAAGGTGATGGGTGAAGCACTCACTGGTATTTTCCAAGTGGTGCTATGACACGGGGGGGGGGGGGGGGGAATTTTTTGGGTTGG